TCCTGCTCCTCTGATGCTGCTTGGCCTGCTGTGTTCATCCAGCTCTATACCTTGTTATCTCAGATTCTCCAGCATCTGCAGTTCCTACTATCTCTGGAAGAGTTATAACGGTTTTAAATTTTCTGGTCACACTTCCAATCACAGCTGACAATATCAGACTTTGGACACAGAAAGATTCCTGTCCTGACAAAACTGAAACAGCTGGGGGTGATGGGGGAAACCAAAGGGTTGTCACAACAGAATTGAAACCTTTTTGGACCCAGAGAGACCAGATCACAGTAGAGGATGGTATATTATTATGGGGAGCAAGAGTGTTAGTCCTGAGGAAAGATCACCGCCGGATACTGGCTGAACTCCACTCAGGTCATCCAGGGGTTTCCAAAATGAAGGTGTTATCAAAATGTTATAATCTGGTGACGAGGATTGGATGCAGACATAGCTGCTCTGGTGGGGCAATGCCCTGAGTGCCAACAAGGGCAAAAATTACCACCAGCACCTCCCGCACATTCATGGGAATGGCCAGGTAAACCCTGGACTCAGTCTCACATCGACTATGCTGATCCTTTCATGGGCTCAATGTTCTTATTCATTGGGGATACCCACTCAAAGTGGCTGGACATGCACAGAGTTCATCATCAAACATGGGGATGATGGTAAAAATTCTGCACATGTCATTTGACTGCACACATCTTTTGAAGTACATGGACTCTTAGAAGTGTTGGTCACAGGCAGCTGGTTATTGTTTATAGCAGGGAATTTGAGTATTTCCTAAAATCGAGTGGCATTCAATATATAAGGACAGCTCCGTACAATCCAACATCCATTGGTCTGGCAGAAAGAAGAGTCCAAACTTTGAAGGCAGGCTTACAGAAACAGCCTACAGCTTCACTTGACTCTGCACCAGGTTAAATCTGATCTTCCCGGACCTTTAGGCAGGGGAGGTGTGTGAAACAGCATCAGGAACGCCAGTGCCGGACAAGAGACTCTGCTAAGTGCGAGACACGGTTTCCTTCAGGGGATGACGTTTGGGGTCGGACACATGGGAATGGCCCCGTGTGGGTAATGGGCATGGTCGATGTGACGTCAGGTCCAGCGATGTAAAAAGTTCGGGAAGGTATGACAGTCCTGAACAAGCACATGGACCATATGAAAGCTGCAAACTCACAAATGGTGCGGGAGCAAAATGTGCCTGACTCCTCGGCGGCTTTTCTGACTGTTCCGGAACACATGGGTTCTCCTCGATGTCAAACATTGAAGTTATCCTGGAATCTGAGATGGACATGCTGGATATCAGTGCCTTGACGCCTTTACCATCTACAGAGGAGAATGAATTTGTTCCCAATTGCTTCAGGCACAGGAGGCAAACCACTGTGCATTACAAGCTGCCTAGACCAGAGGCAGAGTTGGAGGAATCTGACCCAGTGCTGTAATGCACCGGGGGGAGCTACAAAAAAAGACCCAAACTATGTCCTCTGCCTCAGAGGGGGAGGGATGCAGTGATTGTAACAAGGTCAGTTAGGTGGACCTCATAGAATATGAGTTGCAAACGGTGCGGGAGCAAAACATCCCAGACTTCTC